AAAATAGCCCCAGTCTATTCAGCCTTTCCGTATAGCTCAAACCCTCCAACCCTGGCAACATCCTTGTAAATGTTTTCTGAACCCTTTCGAGGTTCACAAATTCCTGGGAGACCAGAATTGAATGCAGTATTCCAGTAGTGGGCTAACCACTGTCCTGTACAGCTGCAACATGACCTCCCAACTCCTATACTCAATACACTGACCAATAAAGGCTCAGTTTGAATTACTTCCCATGTGATCATTGCCTTTGTCTCCACTTCGTGCTTTTTAAAAGTACCGTTTTGATTGTTTTCCCCCCAAAGTTTCAAAACAATGCAACAGCTTATTAAAAGTAATTACTACTCGTAGGATTTGAGGAAATCAGCTCCAACACTGAAAATACCTCAAAAAAGGAGCAGCTGCTACAGACACAATTTTTTTCAGGTCTCCATAATGGATTACCAGGAATCCTATTTTGCTTTGTTTTCACAAGAGAACACATTGATTTGAAAATGTTACAAAATCAACACAATAAACTTCTTTTGAGAAACTAATGCTCATTTTACATCTACATTAATCAAATCAGCCGTTTTAAGTACATAAAAGTACACGCATTTGCTTATAAAACTACATTCTTGTCCATGCTATGCTGACTTGTGCCCTGCACTTTGGAATCAGTCTGTCTGTGTAATGCCATGAAAATGATGGGGATGAGATTCTGGCCTTTTTTAATCGACTTTTCTCTATTTTATCTGTAATTTCTGCTTTGATATAAGATTTCAAACGTATTTTGTCTTTACATTGTAATATCGCTTTCTTCCACTGACCTACCGAGTTTTTACAAGCAGGTCTTTCCATTTTGTGTCAAATTGGTCTGTCAAAAACTTGGTTCAGTGTTTTGCTTGGACTAAAGGATTTAATCTTTCAATATGTTTTCAGAGTGGGAGAATATTTGAGTTGTTTTTAATTTAGGTATATAGGGAAGTGGAGCAATTTGGCTTAATGTTTCTGGAATCCTGATCTGCCTGAAACATCCTGAGCCACATTTTTCTTTCCTTGTGCCTTTTGTAAATTCACAGTTAGACTTACCAATCTGTTAAAAGAACTGTCAACTTCTGATTTGCTGCCCCACATCTTTTTTTCTGAGTTCTTGTCGAATTTCTGTCTATTCTGTTCACTATTACTCCTGTCTTTTCCAAAGAGCTAACTTTCTTCGGCTTACTTTTCTCCTTCTCCAATCTGAATGATTTTGATGAACAGTCCTCAATATTTGGAAGGATTTTCTGTCGTCCACACATCCCCCCCCCACACGCATATACACACACATACATCCACATATATATAAACACAACAGAGTTGCTGGAGGCTTTTATACCAGGCTCTGAATTAACAGAGATTAGTTAAATTGCCTCTAATTTTGCATTAGACATCTGTCATCTGTCTTCTACAAAGACAGTGTTTTCTTTTGTAGCATACGGTTACATATTGATACTGAATGAATTCTGAAGACTTGTTCTTTGCTCAGTTGATGGCAGCAGCTGGAGACCACAATTTTCCTCAGCGTTTCTAGGCTGTAGAGTAGTTATAATTAGGTACTTTAATTATCCTAATAAAGGCTGGAGTAGATATTGTGTAAAGGGCCGAGCGTGGAAAGAGAGCCTGAAGTGTGTTGAGAAGAATTTTCTAGGTCACCATGCTTCCAGTTGAATGAGAAAACAGACATTCGTTCTCAGGAATGAGGTGGACCAAGTGGATCAAGTGTCAGCAGGGCAACATTTGGGGACAGTGCTCGTCATATAAGGTTTAGTTTAACCATGGAGAGGGAAAAGTGCAATCGGGGGTTAAAAAAAATTCTGTGCTGGAGGGCTAATTTTGTTGGAATAGGAACAGATCTGCCTCAGGTAAATTGGAACCTTAGATTGGAAGACAAAACTAAAGTGGAAGAGGAGATAGTTCCAGTACAGTCTAAATATGCTTCCATGACACGAAATGACAAGTCAAACAAAACCAGTGCTCACTGATGGCAAAAGGTATAGAGAGTAAGATGAAACAGATAAAGGGTAAATATGACAAATGTAAGATGGATAATACAATTGAGAATCTGATTTAATACAGGAAGTTTAGAGGCTAAGAGGAAAATGAATTAGAGAACAGCGAGTGTGAGAAGAGGCTGACAGCTAACATAAATGGAAATTCAAAAGTCTTCAAATAGTATATAAATAGCAAAAGAGATAAGAGGAGATATGGAACTGATGAGGTTCCAACAAAGGAAATTAAGAATGGAGGCAAAAGGCATAGCTGAGGGAAACCCCTCTTCTCCCCACCTTCCCCAAATGCCACTTTGCATCCCTCTTTACCAAGGAGGAAGATCTGACTGAAGTCACAGTGAAAGAGGAGGTAGTTGAGACAGAAATTTTGATAAAGTGGACATACTTGAGTGTTGACAGTGTTTAAAAGTGGCAAGTCTGCAGACAGTAGTTTAAAATAGTTATGGAAAAGGATAAGTCTTGCATAAAAGTTAAAGTTCTTAATTGGAGTAAGGCAAATTTTGAGGAACAAGAACTTTCAAAAGCTAATGGAGTAGACTGTTCACAGTTAAAGGGATGTCTGATAAGATGGAGGCCTTCAAAAGTGTGATAACGAGAGTTCAGAGGCATTATGTTCCTGTTAGAGTGAAAGGCAAGGCTGGTAAGATGAGGGAACAATGGATGAATAAAGATATTGAAGTTCTAGTCAAGAATAAAAAATATGTTAGATATAGACAACTGGGATCAACCGAAGATCAGTCTTGAAGAGTATAAAGAATGTAGGGCATTCTTAAGAAGGAAATCAGGAAGGCAAAAAGGGGATATGAGATCGCCTTGGCAGATAAGTTTAAAGATAATCCAGAAAGATTGTGCAAATACATTAAGAGCAAGAAAGCATCTAGAGAGAGGAGGACCCCTTAAAATTCAACAAGGTCATCTTTGTGTTGAACCTCAGGAGATGGAAGAGATATTAAATGAATAGTTCATGCCAATTTTACTGTTGAGAAAGAAATGGAGGCTAGAGATTTCCAGGAAAATATATTGATGTTTTGAAAACAGTTCATGTTACAGAATAGGAAGTGCTGGAGGTCTTAGAAAACATAAAGGTAGATAAATCTCCACAATGTGATCAAGTGTATCCCAGGACATTGTGGGAAGTGAGGGAGAAAATTGCAGGACCCCTAGCAGAAATATGTGTATCATCTATAAACACGGGTGAAATACTAGAGGGTGACTAATATTGTGCCATGTTTAAGAAAGGCTGTAAGGAGAAGCCTGGAAACTGTAGACCTGTGAGTCAGATATCGGTGATGGGTAATTGTTAAATGTGATTTTGAAAGATAGGATTAACATGCATTTTGAGAGGCAAGGATTGATTAAGGGTAGTCAGCATGGTTTTGTGTGATAACAAGGTGTAGAGCTGGATGAACACAGCAGGCCAAGCAGCATCAGAGGAGCAGGAAAGCTGACGTTTTGGGCCTAGACCCTTCTTCAGAAATGAGGCGAAGAGATTACAGGAGAGTTGCAGTGGGAGAGAGATCCACTGAGGTCTTTCCAGAGGCAGGAGGGTAACTTCTTCAAGGTAGGCATCCTTAGAAGAGGCTTTGCAGTGGGGTTAAAATTGTTTCAGAGATAGTAGGAACTGCAGATGCTGGAGAATCTGAGATGACAAGGTGTAGAACTAGGTGAACACAGCAGGCCAAGCAGCATCAGGGGAGCAGGAAAGCTAACGTTTCGGGCCTAGACCCTTCTTCAGAAATGGTTTTGTGTGAGTTTTTTAATGAAGTAACCAAAAAGATTGATGAGGGCAGGGTGGCAAATGTTGTTTACTTGGTTCTGCATGCCAGACTAATGAATAAAGTTGGAGACAAAATTGGTTTTAATGATAGGAGACAGAGGGTGGTGGTGGAGGAAGGTTGTTTTTTGAACTGGAGGCCTGTGACCAGCAGAGTTCCTCAGAGATCAGTCCTGGCCCACTTTTGTTTGGCATTTATATAAATGATTTGGATGAGAATATAGGAGATTTGCAGATGACACCAAAATTCGTATCACGATATAGGGGAAAGTGAAGAAGGTTATCTAAAATTGCAAAGAGATCTTGATCAATTGGGTCAGTGGGCTGAGGAGTGGCAGATGGAGTTTATTTTGGAGAAATGTAAGGTGTTGCATTTTGGTAATACAAACAAGGAGAGGGCTTGTACAATTACTGGTAGGGCGCTGGGTGATGTTGTAGAACAGACAGACTTAGGGATTCAGGTGCATAATTCTTTGAAAATTGCCTCACAGGTAGATAGGGTGGTTAAGAAGGCATTCAGCACACTTCCCTCATTGCTCAGAGTATTGCTTTGAGTATAGGAGGTGAAACGTCATGTTGAGATTGTACAGGACGTTGGTGAGACCGCTTCTGCAGTACTGTGTGCAGTTCTGGTCGCCCTATTACAGAAAGGATATTATTAAACTGGAGAGGGTTCAGAAACAATTTACCAGGAAGTTGCCAGGAATGGAGAGTTTGAGTTATAAAAATAGACTGGAAAAACTGGGACTATTTTCACTGCAGTGTAGCAGGTTTAGGGGTGACCTTATTGAGGTTTATTTAATTATGAGGGACTTAGGTAAGGTGAATGACAAGAGTCTTTTCCCAAGGGTGGGCGAGTTCTGTCTCCATTGGTGTAATCAAAAAGCCCACTAGTATAGCCAATGTGTAAATAACCGCTAACAGGACAACTCACTGGGGTGCAACCTGCAGCTGTGAAACCTCATCCCGGCTAGGCAAGGGGAGAAGAAGAAAATCGCAAGAAAAGCCTTAAACAGGAGAAGTACATTTATGATACATTGAAAATTTTTTTGTCTGTAAAAGTTTCTGTTATTTTGGGAATAAATATTGTATTAATACTATGTAAACATGTCTGAGTTATTCCACAAGAATGCTTTTGTTCCTAAGATGTTGAGATAGAGACTTTTCTCTCATGTACTCTGTTAAATATGGATTTGCAGACAGTGTTCGTCCATTGCAGAATGTTGAAGAGCAAAATGATTTTCAACAGCCAGAACGAGACGATGAGTGGAATCCATGGGAAGAGGATGAAAAGATAGAGAGTGCTTTACAGCATAAAGCTCAGCTACAGGGATTTCAGAAACAAATTTTACAAAACCGATCCAGACAGAAGAAGGTACAGATCTGGGGCAAAGCTGCAATTGGTAAATCCACTTTGGAAATATTTGTTTATGTACATCATACTTCAATGCTGCATTTTGTTTTTACTGACTCTGTAAAATATATTCCAATTAATTTCAATTACTGGGAGAATATATTTTGCAGCAATAATTGTTCAGTTTAAATGTATGTATTTGTGTGGTCTGTTTAGACCTGCTTTCGGAATAAGTTGCCTCAACCTCTCTCATAGCTGTTAGGAAGGAAGTTGGTATTGTCTTCCATGATAACGGGATTTGAAATCTGCGAACTGTGTAACTTTGCACGTTCTGGGCTGAGACTGTTTTTCATTTTTGCTTAGCTTCCTTTGACTGAGCGTGTAAACAGGTAGCCTTACTTTCACGCCTCTATAGAGCTAGTTAAATCTTGCCTAATGTTCTCCCATCCACGTTTTCCGGTGTCTGCTCACATTTCTCTCTCTGCTGTATCTTGTTTGTTTTCTTCTTTCCCTATTAGTGAGTGTGCTATATATAAGAGATGCATTAAAGAGGCCTGAGATGAGTAATGTAGCTTCTTTATGTTGTTTTCTTATTGCTGGGGATAAGTGTTGAACGTAATTGCAGCCTCCAGCTGCTGCTGAGCAAAGAGCAGGGCTCCAGAATCAACTTTGCATCAATAAGTAACTCAATGCTACAAAGCAAACATTGTCTTTGCAGAACACTGGTGACAGATGGTTCTTGCACAAAGGCAATGCTTGAGGCAAGTTAAATAATCTCATTCAAGATGCTAAGAGTCTCGCTCTGTAGAAGTCAGAACCTGGATTATTCCCTGAAATATACATGCAATACCGCACTCTTCTGTTCATCCTGTGACATATTCTGAGTTCTGAGCTATTGCCTATCATTGCCTCGAATTTAGCATTATCAACAATTTAGGCAAATTTGCAATGTGTTTCTGAACCCAAGCTTTTAAGTTGTTATGTGGCCATTTGTATATAACTGAATATCAGAATAATCTGGTTTAGTTTGATATTGACTTTCCATGTGCTGCTCATAGTTTTAGACTGTCCTGCAAACGTAACACAAGAATGGCAATATCCGTACACAATGGCTCATCCATTGGAATTGGTTCTTCGTAACCCTGGTTTCAATGCTGGAGGGTGCAGCTTTATGGAGGAAAATCAGATTTGTACAATGGTCTTCCCATTTGATCCCAATAATTCAATATTCTGAAGCTCGGAATATGATGTCAGTGGATTGTTCAGGTTTTGTTGCAGTAGGGCTGGTTGCCACAAAGTCTTGTAGACCAGAGCCTAGATTGACTTCCAGAGGATCCTATTATCAAAGGCATGTTGTTGCAGCTTGAAGAAGATCGCACTGGCACAGTTGAATCTAAGCTGGCCTACTTTGTTGATGGTGGTCCCTTGGAAAGTTGGCTCCTAAGTAGAGATGCTGCACATATTCCAGAGACACCCCATCCACATAGGTGGTGTGGTGGATGCTCAATTGGCCTGGGGAAGATTAGAATCATGGAATCTCTACAGTACAGGTAGAGGCCATTCGGCCCATCATGTCTGCACTGAAGAGCACCCACCCACATCCACCTGTCCCCATATTACTCTGCATTTACCAAGGCTAACCAACCTAGCCTGAACATCACTGGACACTGTGGGTCAATTTCGCATGGTCAAACCACCTAATTTGCATATCTTTGAACTGTGGGAGGAAATTGGAGTACCCAGTGGAAACCCACACAGACATGCAGAGAAAATGAAAACTCCACATAGACTGTCACCCAAGGCTGGAATCGAACCTGGGTCTCTGGTGCTGTGAGGCAGCAGTGCTCACCACTGTGCTGTCCTAGTTGTTGGAGGACCTTCGTCTTAACAATATTTAAGGACAGGCCAAACTTCATAGACGAAGCACTGGAAGGTAAAGTGTTTTGAGTGTAGGATTTGAAACTGGCCACTTTTACATCCATACGAGGGTCAAACATGGTTGTGTAATCACCCCCACCTTATTCGTCATTGACCTGAGCATCATTATCTACCTCATCTGTGATAACTTACCACCCATTGTCAGCATCCAGTATCGTCTTGATGGCAAGCTCTTCCGACTTCTGGGCCAAAACAACACTCAATACAACAGAAACAGATGACTGCTGCCTGATGGCTCATTTGGCAGGACGCTTGACTCCTTTAAAATAGGAGCATGAATAGGCCATATGGTCCCTGAAGACTGTTCCACCAAAATAGCATTGTAATTGATGTTCTACCTCATTTCCACTTTTCCACCCTATCTCCATATGATTCCCTTAGTGTCCCAAAACTACTGATTGTAAATTTTGGATATGTGACTGAGCATCCACAACCCTCTTGAGTAGAAGAATGCAGTTGCTTACAGCCCCTTGAGTACAGATATTTCTTTCATCCTAGTGCAAAAATGACTACTAGCCCTTTATTCTGAGACTGTGAATCTCTAGGACAACACTCCATCCAGAGAAGCATCCTCTCAACATCTTCCCTGTCGAACCCCTGAAGTTGTTTATGTGTTTTAGGAGGGGAGAGAAGGAGGGGTTGCTGTGCACAAGCTGTGATCTGCTTTGTGGTGTGTTAAGAGACAGTGGAGAGCCTCGAGTTAGATTGGGAGATCTAGTCGTTGGGGTTGTTCTGTGGTTTGCTCCCACTTCCTCCTCCCTGGTGAAATTTCTGATTCAAGCATTTGCCGACTATGTGGCACAAACCAGAGATATGGGAAGTCTCCAGCCTCGTGCTATGTATTACCAACCTGTGGAAATATACTGCCCCTCTGTCTGTTTGAAAATATATCTGATGCTCCCCAGTGGCCTCTGGAAGACCATCTTGTGAGTTGCTGAGGTGTGCTCACCAGAGTCGTTGGTCAAATTTTCAATCCATGTGTTAACTGTTAGGAACAGGAGCCCTCAAGCCTGTTCCACCATTTAGTAAGATAATGGCTGATCTGTGGCCTAATTTCATATACCTGTCTTTGACCCATATCTCCTAATATCTTTGCTTAACAAAAACTTACCTCAGATTTAAAATTAATAACTAATCTAGCATCAACTGCTGTATGTGGAAAAGAGCTCCAAACTGCTATCTTCTTAATGTGTAAAAATGCTTCCTAACATCTCTTCTGAACGAAATAAAAACTGAAAGAACTGCAGATGCTGTAAATCAGGAACAAAAACAGAAGTTGCTAGAAAAGCTCAGCAGGTCTGGCAGCGTCTATGAAGAAAAAATCAGAGTTAACGTTTCAGGTCCGGTGACCCTTCCTCAGAACTTCTGATTTTTCAGCAACTTCTGTTTTTGATCTCTTCTGAACGGACTGGCCCTAATTTTTAGACTATGCCTCCTAGTTCTGGAATCTCCAACCAGCGGACATAGTTTGTCTTTATCTACCCTGTCTTTTCCTTTAATATCTTGAAGACTTCAAACAGATTACCACTTAACCTTCTAAATTCTAAAGAAAAGAGGCCTAATTTGTATGATTTCTCCTCATAACAAAGCCCAAAGTCCAAGTATCATTCTTTTGAACCTAAATTGTACTCCCTCCAAGGCAGTATATTCTTCCTGAGGTCCCAGATCTGCTCACAGCACTCCAAATGGTGTCTAACCAGGATTATATCTCAGCTGGAATGGCATTGGCGATGCTACAGTTCACTACAGCCCTAGCTTTGGGAGATAAAAATGAATCATATTCAGCTCTTGAGCACTATACCACAAACCTAGCTTCAAGTACAGGCAGAGGAATGTCAAATAAAGATAGAATTGGGCTTATTGATGACAATACTGTCCTATGCTACTGAAATCTTCACTATGAAAGCTGACAAAAGAATAATGATTACCTTGGCAAGGAATCAGGAACGATCCAGTATCCACAGAATAAACCTAAACAGCAGACAGCACCTTCTGAATGCAAGTAAAGAATTGCCAAGAAAAGCAGAACCATATTGAAGGGTTCTGAGTTACACGGTACATTTAAATGTCATACATATGGTTCCCTGGGTTCTGATTAAAAAGCTTATTGTTTGACTGTGATGGCTAGAAAGGATTCTTGATCCAGTTCTCAATGCCTGTGAACCCATTGCATTAACCTGATTCCATCACCATTCAAAACCACCAACGTACAGACTTAAAGAATAGCTAAGTTTCTTCTTGTAGTCAGTGTTTGCACCTTGGAGGATTGGAATAAGGTAGGGTCCTATTTTAAGAATTTGCAAATGTTCATAAAACACTTTTGTATCCATAGAAAAAATAATGTCATTTAAAAACCTCTTTCTGAAGTCAATTGTTCATATGCCTGGTACTGATACTGTTGCATAATAACTGGCTTTCAGTTCTACAGCTCTAAACCCTTCCTCTTTAAAATAGGGCTTTATCTCTGGCAGCATATTCTTGGTGGCCAGCTTACACCAAACGATGTGACAGCTCACTGGAGAGAAGGGCAACTGAAGGCTGGAAATTTACATCTTAGGTAAAAGTTTACTATCACATGAATTTTGGATTTTGTTCTGCATAAGAGAGAGACTTTTACCCAAAGCAATTTTGAGGCTATTGTCAGGAACTAACTTTCTAAATTGTCTTTCCTAATGCCTTGATCCATGCCCTACCAAAATGAAAACTTATTAACTTTGCACCACATTTGTGTTTTGTTGTGATGATTTATTGAATAAAGCCCAGTGGTTTTAGTTTATGGGTAGTGAATAGAAAGCAGGAAGGAGATAGGCAGTGGACCTGTATCCAGATATTAAAAATCTTTAATAAAAAGTAATACTGCCAAGGGACTTTGAACAATAAATCTAATTCCTATCATCAAAAAGGGATATAGAACTAGCTTAGGGAATTATAAACTAGTAGCAGGAAAGGTACTTACAGTCAAGATCATTTGGTAAAAATGTATTGTTTGAAAATGTTTTATAGAATCATAGAATCCCTACAGTGTGGAAACAGGCCATTCAGCCCCACAAGCCCACACCAACGCTCCGAAGAGCATCCCACCCAGACTCACCTCTCTACCCTATTCCTGTAACTCTGCATTTCCCATGGTGAATCCACCTAATGCACACAACCCCGAACACTCTGGGCAATTTAGCATGGCCAATCCACCTGATCTGCACATCTTTGGACTGTGAAGGAAACCAGAGCATCTGGAGGAAACCCACTCAGACACAGGGAGAATGTGCAAACTCCACACAGATAAAAACCAAAAGAACTGCGGAGGCTGTAAATCAGGAACAAAAACAAAGTTGCTGGAAAAGCTCAGCAGGTCTGGCAGCATCTGTGAAGGAGAAAACAGAGTTAACGTTTCGGGTCCGGTGACCCTTCCTCAACTCAGATAGTTGCCTAAGGTCGGAATTGAGCTTGGGTCCCTGGCACTTCGAGGCAGCAGTGCTAACCACTGAGCCACCATGCCATCCCAAACCAAAGTGAAGAATGTGGACACCGATCCCACTACCTTTCGCAGTGCTTTATGTTAAAGTACTTCTCTCTTTTCCCCCCTGCTTCATAATCTTTATTTCTTTGCTATCTTTCACTGCATCCATGCATTTAAGATTTTAAGCATTGTGAACACTGGTTTAAAATTAAATGGGTTTGGAATTACAGGATAATATTTCAGGATTTGACCTAACTTACTTTATAATAATGAAAATAGTTTTGTTCTTGTCATAAAATTAATTAAATTATTGTTTGAATTCTCCTTGGGGAAGTGAATGATGAGGGGTGATATGGGAGAGGTGCTGAAGATTTTATAGCATTTTGCAGTAAGTTGAGAGAACGTTTTTCCTGTTGGTAGGCCTGTTATTTAAAGGATACAGATTTAAAATCAATGGCAAAAGAACCAAAAAGGAGATGGAGTTTTTTTTAACCCAATGAGTTATGATCTGTGTTCATTGATTTAACAGGTAACAGAAACAATTCAATAGCAACCTTCAAAAAGAAATTTGTATCCTGGAATAGGAAAGGTAAAACAGGGTTATAGGCTAGAGCAAGAAAGGATTATTCAGCTAACTCTTTCAATGATCCTTCCTCACTGCTGCATGATTCCATGATTTGTCAAAACAGTACATTGGCCTAGATTGATAATGAAATGTGAACACTTTTCCTAATGGTTAAATTGGCCTCTTGCTGTAAATATTTTTCAACAGTACTATAGGATGCGATATGCCATTTCGCCTATTTTATTTTTACTTTATTTTTCTTCAGTTTCTGCACTGGTCCTACAGCAGTTCCTGGAAACATCCCACTAGATACTGAGAATGTGGTGCTTGTGCTAAATGGCAGGGAAGAAGAAAAGATCAAGTTTGCCACCCAGTGGCTGCACTATGTGCAGACACTCCTCCAGACAAACAAACTTCAACATGTAGCTGTAGTTCTCCTTGGCAATGAGAAGTGTGAAAATGACTGGATTGAACCCTACCTCAAAAAACACGGAGGATTTATCGATTTGATTTTCCTTGTGTATGACAGCCCTTGGGTAAATGAGGAGGATGTTTATCAGTGGCCACTGGGCGTGGCAACGTAAGTACATTGTTAGTTTATGGTACATTGCTCAGTTCCTAAGTGTACCTGCTTTACATTTGTTTATAATTTGGTAAGCTTTGTTTTACCTGTGTGCTACCTCTTGGTGACACAATTTGAAAAAAATGGCTTCAGATTTCACATCTACTTTGTCAACTCAGTAGTACCTTTCAACTTGCTCACAGTCACTTATTGCAGCCAATTAAATATTAGGAAGTTTAAAGCTACCAACTTTGGTAGTCACCACAAGCTCCATTCTCTAGCTGAACTATTGCATCCGTGGTGTCTTACTTGACTCCATGATAACTTCTAACCAGCTTGTGGACTTCATTTTGATGTTAGTTCTAGTTAAGTTGCTCTTCATCAAGCTTTAAAAAAAAAGCCCAAATGATGGGCACGTGATATCATGTAAATATAAATTGTGTTACCTCTCACTTTCTACTCTGCTTGACAGGTGGCCTTCAGAAGAGAGCCCATGCTTAGAAGCATACTGCTTTCTGCCACAAATGTATATAGGAAAATACAGCTTATTTTTCAAATGGTTTTCAACTTAGCTTTACAAAGTATTCCAGTACAGAAACAAACCATTTGGCCCAACTGATACTTTCTGATAGTTACACTATTTAACCAAAATTGTTCTTTTAATCATGGGTTCCACATTCTACCCACTGTCTGGATAAAGACGTTTCTTTTAAATTCTCTATTGTATTTATTTGAGACTATTTTATATTTATAGCCTGTTACAATCCCAGCTAATATTGCCACTGAACAAGTAAAAATCCCAGATAGAAATATAATGTGGTTTTGTTTCAGTTTAATGTGGTGGGCATTCACTGAAACACTGGTACCCAAGCTGCAGATTTTCTTTAACAGTAAAATAGATGTTTATTACATAAGAGAGAAAAATTAAAATAAAACAAACCAAGCAATCTAAATAAAGAACACAATTTGAAAGATCTTAAAACGCACAGCAAAAAAAAGTGTATCATTCCAAATAGATTGTGAGAAAAGAGATAAGTCAGAGGCTGGTGCAGTTGGGAAGATGCACAAGTTGGGAAGATGCACAAGTCAAATAGTCAAGGCAGGAGCAAGGCAGAGAATGAGATAAGACTGATAACTTAAACTGCATTTATTTCAATGCAAGAGGCCGACTGGGATACCATAGCTATTACAGAAACGTAGCTCAGGGAAGGGCATAACTGGCAGCTTAATGTTCCAGGTATAGATGCTATAGGAAGGATAGAAAGGGGGCAAGAGAGGAGGAGTGGCGTTTTTGCTTAGGGATAACATTACGGCCGTACTTGGGGAGGATATTCCTTGGAGTACGTTCAGGGAAGTTATTTGGGTGGAACTGAAAAATAAGAAAGGGAAGATCACCTTATTGGGGTTGTACTATAGCCCCTAGTAGTCAGCAGGAAATTGAGAGGCAAATATGTAAGGAACCTTAGATATCTGCAAGAATGGTAGGTTTGTAATGGTAGGGGATTTTAACTTTCCAAACATAGACTGGGACTGCCATAGCGTAAAGGGCTTAGATGGAGAGAAATTTGTTAAGTGTATATAAGAAAATTTTCTTATTCAGCATGTGGATGAACCTATTAGAGAAGGAGAAAAACTTGACCTTCTCTTGGAAAATAAGGAGGGCAAGTGACTGAGGTGTCAGTGGAGGAGCACTTTGGGACTGGTGATCATAATTCTATTAGTTTTAAAATAGTTATGGAAAAGGATAAACTTGATTTAAAAGTTCACGTTTTAAGTTGGAGTAAGGCTAATTTTGACAATATTAGGCAAGAACTTTCAAAAGTTGATTGAGAGAGGCAATTTGCAGGTAAAGGGGTGGTTGGAAAGTAGGAGGCCTTCAAAAATGAGATAACGAGAGTCCAGAGGCAGTATGGTCTTATTAGTGTGAAGGGCAAGGTTGGCACGAGTAAGGAACACTGGATGACTAGAGAAATTGAGGCTCTGGTCAAGAAGGTGGAGGAGGCATACGGCAGATATTGACAGCTGGGATTGAATGGAATCCCTCAAGGAGTATAAGGACAGTCAGAGTATAGTCGAGGGAAATCAGGAGGGTAAAAAGGGCACATGAGATGGCTTTGGCAAATAGGGCTAAAGAGAATCCAAAGAGATTTGACACATACATTAAGGGCGAAAGAGTTACTAGGGAGAGAACAGGCTCCCTTAAAGATTAATAAGGCCATCTATGTGTGGACCCACAAGAGATGCATGAGATACTAAATGAGTATTTTACGTCAGTATTTATTGTGGAGAAGGGTATGGAACCTGGAGAACTTGAAGAAATAAACCGTGATATCTTGAAAAGTGTGCCTATTACAGAGATGATGGACACTTTAAAATGCGTAAAGGTGAATAAATCCCCAGCACCAGATCGGGTGTATCCTCGTCTTTGTGGGAAGCTAGGGATGTGACTTCTGGGTTCCTTGCTGAGACATTTGCACGTTCGATAGCCACAGATGAGGTCCCAGAAGACTGGGGCTTGGCTAATGTGGTGCCATTATTTAAGAAGGGTGGTAAGCAAAAGCCAGGGAACTATAGACCAGTGAGCCTGACGTCAGTGATGGGTAAGCTGTTGGAAGAGATTCTGAGGGATAGGATCTCCATGTATTTGGAAAGGCAAGGACTAATTCGGGATAGTCAATGTGGCTTTGTGTGTGGGAAATCATGTCTCATTAACTTGTATTTTGAAGAAGTGACAAAGCAGATTGATGAAGGCAGAGTGGTCAACGTTGTTATTATGGACTTCAGCAAGGTGTTCAACAAGGTTCCGCATGGTAGTCTGGTTAGCAAGGTTACATCACATCCAGGGAGAGCTAGGCATTTGGATACAAAATTGGCTTGAATGTAGGAGACAGAGGGTGGTGGTTAGAGGGTTGCTTTTCAGACTGGAGGCCTGTGACCAGCGGTGTGCCACAAGGATCGTTGCTAGGTCAACTGCTTTCTGTAATTTATATAAATGATTTTGATGTGAATATAGGAGGAATAGTTAGTAAGTTTGCAGATGACACCAAAATTGGTGGTGTAGTGGACAGTGGAGGAGATTATCTCAGAGTACAACAGGGCCTTGATCAGATGGGCCGATGGGCTGAGGAGTGGCATATCAAGTTTAATTTGGATAAATGTGAGGTACTGCATTTTGGAAAGGCAAATCAGGGCAGGACTTATACACTTAATGGTAGGGTCCTGGGCAGTGTGGCCAAGCAAAGAGACCTTGGGCATCAGGGCTCATAGTTCCTTGAAGGTGGAGTCACAGGTAGTAAAGAAGGTGTTTGGTACGCTTGCCTTTATTGGTCAGTGCATTGAGTATAGGAATTGGAATGTCATGATGCAGTTAAGAATGTCAGGATGTTGTTAAACTTAAACTAAGAGTGCAGAAAAGATTGATAAAGATGTTGCCAAGACTGGAGGGTTTGGGCTGTAGAGAGAGGATGTATAGGCTGGGACTATTTCCCCCGGGGTGTCAGAGATTGAGGGGTAACCTTATACAGGTTTATAAAATCATGAGGGGCATGCAGAAGGTGAATAGTTAAGGGAGTCCAAAACTAGAGGGCATGGTTTAAGATCAGAGGGGGAAAATATAAACGGGACCTAAGAAGCAACTCTTTCAGGCAGAGGGTAGTGCATGTAAGGAATGAGCTGCGAGAGGAAGTGATGGAGGCTGGTATCATTACAACATTTAAAAGGCATCTGGATGAGTACATGAATAGGAAAGGTTTGGAGGGATATGGGCTAAATGCTGGCAAATGGGACTAAATTAATTTAGGATATCCAGTCGGCATGGATGAGTTATATCATAGAATCCCTACAGTGCGGAAACAGGTCCTTCGGCCCAACAAGTCCACACTGACCCTCAGAACATCCCACCCAGACCCATGCCCCTATAACCCACCTCACCTACACATCCCTGAACACTATGGGCAATTAAACAAGTTGGACCGAAGGGTCAGTTTCTGTGCTGTATGTATGTATGACTCTATTCCCCAACAATTTATAGCATTTCAAATCCGTAGAAATTATCCATCTGTGCCAAATCTTTAAGTTTGACATAACTGCTTCTGTGCAGTTCTGTCTCTGAAATATGAAGTAGTTTTACATAAATAATCATGAAACTGAAAGCTTATGCTATCCCAATCTTTTAATAATCTGCCCATTTCTAACTTTTAGTTTGGAAGCTTCACCAGCTAATCCTTGTACCAAGGTAACTGAGCTCCTTTTCATTTGTCCCAGACTGCTTAGAGAAACTATTTTTGCTTCTTACTCCAGTCATGTATCCTACAGATAACTGCCCTAACAGATTTCAATCCTCTCTTTCTCTAAACTAAAATCAATCCTTGATTATTCAAAACCAAAAGCAAATAAATGCATTTTAATTTTTGCTCCTTCTGTCATAAGCTCAACATTATCAACAGTCTTCGATTGGAATCCTGTCTGGGGATTTGCAGTTACCTGGTCTCCCCCTCATGCCTGGTTAGGTCACTGTTACTAGAAAGGACTCTCAGACCTTTTTATAAACCCTTCACAAAACCAACTATTACCTATATACCATTAGTTTGAAATCCCTTACTTTCAAAACGATATGAATATGTTTTAGTTTATACTCTTGAACTTTTTCGTAATCTTGAGCCTACTCTCAGGTCACTTTCTCAACATTCTGTCTTCTAAAGAGCCTCAGCCTGTTTGGTCTTGATCATTCAAGGTTTGATTAACATGTTCTGTTCGGTGCTGTGCCAGAGTATTAGTATGCAGTGCTCATATGTGTGCACAACTCATCACTTATCAAGTGATCTAAAAAGCACTCAAAATAGTACTGCAGCCCTCTCAGCCGGAGCACATCTGGCTCCCACAAGTCCCTGACCTCCAGCAACATTCTACTGCTTTCCACTTGGGATCTGTCTCAGGCTTCCACTGCTGCTACTGTCTAATCGCCAGTGGAAAGAGAAAGTTAAAATGCACCTCATGGGGAAGGAAAAAGTTGTTTGAATATTAATTGAGACTGAAGTTTGACCTTTAAAGGCTCTGGAAGTTCCCAGCACTCCATGAAGCAGACTGCTACATAGCAAATTAAGCATGTTGCATAAATGTTATCATTTGACCTTTAGAGTAAACAGGAACATTGTGGATCAAAATCCATCTGTTCGAAGGAAGATCTAATAATTACACTGTACTTCTTATTTCAGCTACAGGAACTTCCCCATTGTGGATCTCAACAACCTAATGTTGCATTCGTCAAGGCCATACTTGTGCAATTTCCTCGGAACTGTCTACAAAGGCTCCTCCAGGGAAATCTTGTTGAATGTGTTGAAACGGGAAAGACTCAATACAATGTGTCTTATCTCAGTTAGAGAACAGTAGGTCCTATTCTTTGTGTACCTCATCCTGCTTTTAAATGGCAACTACGTAGCTACTAAGCTTTAAGTAACTATTTTTTCTGGTATTTTCAGTAATATTGAGAAAACAGTTCTTTATGCCAGTAGAATTTCTGGAGAAGTGAAGGACAGACTTTGAAACAGGCCATTTGGCTCAGCAAGTCGACATTAATCTTGATGTTCCTCAAGTGCTAGCTCCCACTCTACTTCATTTAACCCTGTCTACATATACTTCTATTTCATTCTCTCTCATCTACTTAGTTCTGTTCCCCTTATAATGCTATTTGCCTCAAGCACTCTATGTGGTAGTGAATTCTACGTTCTCACCACTAAGCAGATAAATTTCTACTGGTATTCTTGTTAGATTTGGTTAACAACCATCTCACATTTATGGTTCCTAACTTGGGATTCTTCCATCAGTGAAAATATTTTCTTTACATAATCATACAATCCCTACAGTGTGGAAACAGGCCCTTCAGCCCAACAAGTTCACACTGACCCTCCGAGCATCCCACCCAGACCCATCCCCCTATAACCCACCTAATCTACACATCCCTGAACACTACAGGCAATTTGGTATGGTCAATCCACCTAGCCCAATCATCTTTGGACTGTGGGAGGAAACCGGAGCACCTGGACGAAACCCATGCAGACGTGGGGAGAATGTGCAAACTCCACACAAACAGTCACCCGAGGGTGGAATCGCACCTGGGTCCCTGGCGCTGTGAGGCAGCAGTGCTAACAACTGAGCCACTGTGCCTCCCATAATCTACCCTGTCTTTCATAATGTTATTGGTTGAAAGACTTGTTTGCAAATGGATTAGTCATCATGGATTCCTGCACCTAAATTGTGATACCATTTAATACTCAAAATGTGAAAGTGCTACCCATGAAGAGTGTTTTAGTAATGCTTTTAAAGAAATGGGTAATTATTTAGAACAGCAATTTGAGGGCCATTTCCCTGATGTAGACAGTAATGAGATGGATTAGACAAATCGCAATTAAAAAAGAGCGTAACTCCACTAACAATTGCTTTAAATGTTCATGCATTACATATACAATCAGTTAACAGATCATATATCCAATACAAAGAGATATGAATTACTGGCAATATCACCCTATTTCTACATTTGACTGGCTCACAGCTAGTATTACTTCAATTTTTATAAAAATTCCTGAAAGTGTACAAATTTCCTTCCCTCCTATTCTATTATTGAATACTCATTCAAATATGACATCCATAGGAATATTTTACAGACCTGTGCAAACCCAGTCTTGTTTGTCTGACATTTAGTCATAAAATGAAGTTACAGTATTGCAACCTGTTAGCTGAACCAGCTTATGCAGTAAACACAGATCAACGAGGTGAGCTGAACCTGGAGAATAAGTTACAATGAATCAAATTGCAGGGAGAGATTAATATTTATTTCAAAAATTTGTTTCAGGAGTAATTAAAATTTAAGGAAGTCAAAATGGCAGCTTTTCCAAATAGTAAGAACCAAACCAACCAAGAGATTAAGATAACAGAATATGCTGGAAGAAGTCAGCAAATCAAATAGTGTTCTAATGACACATGCTTACTGCATGAATTCAAATAGAGCGTACTGTGATATCTAAGCCTGCCTCCTACCTCCACATTTCTCCTGCCCAAAGTAAATGTGAGACTTAACACTGAAAGCCAAAGCAGTCATGGTGCTTATTATTGCAGATAAGTCTTTAGAGGCCAGTACCTTCTCAGTTACCGTTAACTTATACAAAACAGCTTGTCTTTTTTTTCTCCCCCCGCCCCATGCACTCAACGTATTTATTGCTGTCTCTCACTCTCCAAAGAGATTATTTCACAAAACTCTTGAAAAGTCTCTGCAAACTTCAAGTTGAGACTTGTTGGTGTGAACGAAATCATTCTGCATTAGAGAGAGAACAGTAGTTTGTATATTTATCCAATGATATATTACAGGGTGAGCATGGGTGGGGTAGATCAATCAGCTGCATGTATTAGGCTCAGCATCACAAGAATGGCCCCTGTTAACACACAACCTTCATTTCACATGCCTTCACAATGATTCCATCTAGGAGGAATCATGAAAGGTTTGCATTTTTATGACCTTGGAATGTCCCAGATCAATTTACTGCCAATGCAGTACTTTTCTAGTCACTGTTATAATGCAGCAAAGGGCAGCAGTTAATTTGCACATCATAAATATGATCAGCAATGTGACAAATAAGCAGTTAATTAGTAATGAGATAGTAAGAATTGCCAATGCTAGAATCAGAGACAACACAGTGTGGAGCTGGAGGAACACAGCAGGCCAGGCAGCATCAGAGGAGCAGGACAGTTGACGTTTCAGGTCGGGACCCTTCTCCAGCTCCATACTGTGTTGTCTCAGTTAATTAATGTTGGTTGAGTGATCAATGCTGTCCAAGAGAACAGAGACATCTCTCCAGATCTTCCTAAATAGTGCTTTGGGAATTTTCACTTCCACTTGAGACAGTGAATGGGCTTCTGCTTAATTTCTCATTGAAAAGACAGTACCTCTGATGGTATAGTATTCCGTCACTACTGCGTTGGTAATGTCAGTCTAGTTTTTTTTTTGCAATTTTTCTGACAAATTTATTGAAATGTAGAAAATGTATAACAGAATGAAATCTGTCATCCAAAAGAGACTTCTATTGGTGTTTAGGCTCATTTCTCTGGAGTGAAACTTGACCCCACAATTTCACAATTTGAAAATGAGACACAGCTGCTATAGGAAAGGAAAAAGAAGCACAGAGATAGCAGGAACTGCAGATGCTGGAGAATCC